TTTGTGCTCCCTATTTTCCTTACCCTTGCTTATGGTTTTTGTTTTCCACTCAGATCCCTACCTTTCTTATAGGGCTGGTTTAGTGGTCATGAATTCATTTAACTTTTGCTTGGGAAACTCTATCTCCCCTTCTATTCTGAATGTTGGCCTTGCTGGTATTCTTGGCTGCAGATTTTACCCTTTTAGCACTTTGCATATATTGTGCCACTCCCTTCTGGCCTACAAAATTTCTCCTGAAAATCGGCCAATAGCCTTATGGGATTTCCTTTGTAACTGTCTTTTCTCTTGCAACCTTTCAAATTCTTTATTATTATTATTGTTATTGCATTTTAATTACTATGTGTCTTGGTGTGAATTTCCTTGGGTTGATTTTGTTGGGGGCTCTCTGTGCCTCTTGAATCTGAATCTCTGTTCGTCTCCAGATTGGGAATTTTCAGTTTTTATTTCTTCAAATACATTTTCTTCCCTCTCTTTCTCTTCTGGGATCCCTATAATGTGAATGTTATTAGGCTTGATGGGGTCACTGAATCTTCTTAAGTCTGTTCTCATTATGCAGTATTTGTGTTTCACCTGTTCAGCTTGATTGCTTTCCATTACTGGATCCTCCAGGTCACTTATACATTCCTCTGCTTCCTGTAGCCTACTGTTTATTCCATCTATTGCATTTTTATGTATTGCATTTATTATCTGATTTTTTTTTTTTTACCTCTTTGTCAAGGGTCTCACAGATTTCCTTCACCCTTTTCTGAAGTCCAGTGAGTATCTTTATGATCATTAATTTCTGAATCATATTACTTGTTTCACTTGGATCTCCTGCTGTGATTTTTGTCCTTTTGTTGGGGACATAGCCTGTGTCATTTTCTCTACCTGTTTCTGTTAGAGGAGTTAGCCACATCTTATGCTTTTGAAATTAGTCACTTTATGAAGTAGGGGTCTTATAGTCCTCTGCAGTACAGTTCCCCCCCCCCCCCCCCCCCCCCCCTTCACCAAAACCTGGAGCTGCAGGAAGTCTCGTGTGTTGCTTGCATCCTGCTAATTTTAATTTGTCTGGGTCGCTTTTTAAATCCAGACGTCTGTACTGACTCTGCCTGTAGTGGGCTGTGCTTGCTCTATGTGGTGTGAGACCCAGGCAGCAGTGTGTCTAAATTTGCGCTGAGCAGCTGCTAGTCTTTGGCTAGATCCCCCAAAGTGCAGTGGCCACCGGGGCATGTTGTGTGGTGGCTGGGAGCACATAGCATCTGCGTGTGGTATTAACAAAACTTGCACGGAGGCCAGCAGGCTTGGGGTGGGTGAGTCCTCAGAACTCACGGGCGGGTCCCACTCCTAACTGGTTAGGTAGTATCTGTGCAGGGCCACCTCCTGCAGGTGGCTTTGTATTTATGCTTGGGGGATGAGGGAGGAATAACGGCACCTGCTACTTTGTTCCTAAAGAAGGAATAGCTCCCTCCTGTTTCTTCCACACATTGTGCAAAGTGTCAATTCTGTGGTGCTTCTCCAACAGCTGTTGTCTTTTTAAGGGCAGGGACCCAGCTATCACTTGCCTTCCTTGGCCCGGTGCTGAACCAGCTGACTTTTACAGCTCTATGCTCCAGGTCCTGTTTGTTATACAGTCACAGAATTAAGTGCCGTTTTCAAAGCCAGTCATTTTGGGGATTCTTCTTCTCCATGGAGGTTCCCTGGTGCTTTTCCCTGTCTTTGCTTCCTCTCCTGCAGGCAGCTCCTGACCATTTCTGCCTTTTCCTCACCTCTCAGATGTGGCTGCTTCTCTACATTTAGTGTTTTCGGTCAGTCTTCAGATTGCTCTTTGGTTTATTTACTCAGATGTGAGTGATATCTAGTTGTAATGTGGGATAGGGTGAGCCTAGGGACCTCCTATTCTAGGGCCATCTCTACTCAGTGATTACGTCACTCTTAATGCATAATATATTAGTCTTCATTTTTGTTTCCCGTATCTCCTTAATATATCAAATCTACTCTCCTATCCTGCTCTATTTCCTTAGATGCATGCCTCTTTATTTACGGTTTCAAAAACTAATGGTTTTAACCCTGACTGCACATCTGAGGCACCTTGGAAACTGTAATACTGATTCCCAGGCCTCATCACTAATAAAATCACCCTTTGGGTGTGGCAGCCAAATCATCAGTCTGCTTACATGTCTTCCCAGGTATTTCAAATGTACAGAGTTGAGCACTGAAGCAGACTGTGCATTCAATGGTTCTCAACTGGGGGCAGGTTTGTTGGGATCAATTTAGGACACCATGTTAAATGTTTTTTTCAGATATGCATTTTGTTCCCTTCCCCATCCTTCCCCCCATCCAGCAAGGTCTTCAGATTTTTTTGTCATGACCAGGAATTGCTATTGGCATCTAGAGAGTAGAGGTCAAGGATGGTGCTGAACATCTTATAATGCACAGGCCAGCTCCCACAACAATCACCCAGTTCAAAATGGCTATAGTGTAGAAATAGATAAAACCTGCTTTGGAGCAACATGAAAACCAGTTGTAAGAAGAGGAAATAGATTTGGAACTAAAAGCAGAATTCTGTTTAAATGTAAGGATTATATTGATGTTACAAGTGACAGAAGTCCAAAAAAGAAATGAAAGTTTTATATTTGAAGCCAGAGAACTGTTTGAAGTGTAGTATCTGTAATTGAAATTTTTAGATAGGTTTCAATACATTTTCAAAGAAATTCAGAGCATGCAGAGTTCAACAGAATGAAATTTGAAGTTTCTTTATCTATGAAATGTGGCAACAGTGTTAACCTGAAAGTTCTTTTGGTTTAAATTCAACAACTCTTTGATATTTTTAATCAGTTAGTAAACTTGACAATGACCATGAAGAGCCAAAATAGAAATACATACACACACACACTATATATATATATATATATGTACACACTGGAATCACTCCAAATTCCAGTGCTGGGTTTTTTTTTTTTTTCTTAAATTTTTTTCAATGTTTATTTATTTTTGGGACAGAGAGAGACAGAGCATGAACGGGGGAGGGGCAGAGAGAGAGGGAGACACAGAATCGGAAACAGGCTCCAGGCTCTGAGCCATCAGCCCAGAGCCCGATGCGGGGCTCGAACTCACAGACCGCGAGATAGTGACCTGGCTGAAGTCGGACGCTTAACCGACTGCGCCACCCAGGCGCCCCTCCAGTGCTGGGTTTTAATACTAGTTGTGTAACCCGATGCATGCTCCTATATGTTTCCATTTTGTCTATTACAAAATGAGGGACGTGGGTCAGATGATTGGAATGACTCCTTCCCACGGTTAACATCTATATAAAAATTCCTCAGTTCTGGTCAAAATACAAATTTCACAACAAAACCTATTTCTCAGTGATAGGTCTAAATTTCAAAGGCTCACCTTCATTTTAAATAGCAAATTTATATTTAAGATGGATAATTTTATGGATTTCTTTATGGGGTCCATTGAATAAGTGAAAAATGATCAAACTGATATGTTTTTCTTATTGCAGTCCATAAAAGTCCACTACTTTCTACTATTTATCAGTAAGATTCTCTTGGATTATATTTCCCAAAACTGAATCTTACCAGTAACATTTCTGAAAAAAAAATTTAACTGGCAGTTACTGCTTCTCATGTTGTTTTTGGAAACTGTTACAAAGCAACATGACAAAAGAAGCCTTGGCACCCCGCACACAGTACAGAACCACAGCCCGAGGATCTTTTTAACCAGTAGATGGCACTTCCTAACTGTTAAAGCCAGTGTTGATACTTCAAGAGAACATGGCTCAAACAATGGTGCAAGGTGGGAAATGCCTAAGTAACATGCACATTAGAAACAGAGTGCTGCAAGGCCATGGACCAAGTAATTATTTTTTTGTGGGAGCTGTCCTTTGCACTGTAGGATGTTTAACAGCATCCCTGGCTTCTACCTACTAGATGTCTAAAGTAGCACCCCTTCCACTTTGCCTGCCTCAAGTTGTGACAAAAAAATCTCCAGACATTGCTAAATTTCCCATGAGGCAAAACTGCTCCAATTCAGAACCACTGAGAAGTCAAAAGCTATGCAAACAGATTTATAATTATACACAAGGATTAAATCTCCTATTGCTGAGTGAAAGCCAGACATAAAAGTGAACATACTATATCTATAGTTTCATACAAATAAAGCATGAAAACAGACAAAACCAATTTATGCAGCAGGTGAGAGGAGGAAGAGCCAGTAATGTTCTGTCTTGATCTGGGTGCTGCTTACATAGATGAAAATTTACTGAGCACTTATGATAGGTGCACTTTTTTGCATATATACTTCAATAAACATTTTCCACAATGCTAGGCTATATATGGTATACTGCTTTGTATTTTTCATAATGAATGAAAACTTTGTAGCCATTTCTCTTTGAATCAACACTTAGTTACATGTTAGCTAAGCAGAGTTCTAAATCAAGGTGTGAACTAAAGTTTATCATCTCCATGTGTTCCTTTTAAAGTCACTTAATTGAAAAATACAGAAAAAATCCAATTCACTAATTGATTTGGTAAAAGTTACTTGGTTCTCCTGAGATTGTCTCTATTCCTATAGGCAAAAGCCACACAAATCTATGATGATGCTATGTTTAAAATGCTGTAAAAAGCCACAAATGAGGCATTTCTGTAAAGTATCATAGTTTCTATCTCTTGCTAAAATGGAGAAATATATTTCATTTAGCTGCTGAGGCAAATTTTGTCAAAACAAACTACATTTATCTGCCTCCAGGAGTTAGGGATTCTTTTTTTTTTAAGTATTTATGAGATTCATATTGTAGTATTACCCTTATTCTTCTTTTCCTGTACAGACACTACTTCAAAGTAATACACCTGTACCATAACACTTAACAGGTAATAAAGAAAATTTAAAGCTACAATGAATCTAGAATTCTCAACTGCATTTATTTAAAAACCACATCTTTTAAAAGAACTAAAACTTAAAAATATTGCAATGAAAAAACAGACTGTCATAACCAAATGTGATTTATTTTTAGAGAAAAATAACAGGTTTTTCCAATAAAGGGAAGAAATAACAATATGAGATCATGTCCTGATTACATGTTAATTACCACATCCATGGATGTGATCAACATGTACTCAATGATAATATGAATGAACATTTGAGATTTAAAAATCACAAACCACTTGCCAATGCTGTAAACCCATAAATGTTGAAATAAATACCCAGAAATAAGTAAATTTTAAAAATTTAAGCTTTTGAGTGTTTACAGATCAACCCAAATGTTATGTACAAATAGTACTGCCAGTAAGCTGACACTGCTGTTAGTTTCCACCTAATTTCTTCATAATATGGCTATCTGGTGTTGCATTAGTGAAGATACTTCCCACAAACACATGGGTACCCCAGAGACTATGACGAATCACTTTACAGCAGCCAAGATCATCCACAGAGAATCCTAAATGTCGATAGCGTTCATCTGTTTCAAAAAGAGTGTTGTTTGTATATGATCCAAAAAACTGGAGGAAATAAAAATCATATTCATTAGCAAGAAAGGCAATGATGTAACAGTTTTTATGCAAACATGAATACGTATCTATTTTAACACCCCAAATATTAAAAAAAATCAAATAAAAAGGGCAGTTTAGGTACTGCATGTGACCAAACACCTCTTCATCTAATACCTGTCCTTCTGGAAATGTGAAACCAATAATCTAGCAAATACACGTTATCTAGAACCAAACATCTAGAATTAAACTAAGTTTTTCATTTCTAGTCTACACTACATGTTACTTTTTGAAAATAAGCTACAAAAAATTTCATTTTTACCTGTAAGATACACCCAGAATGTGGGTGACAATAGTGGTTCTTATTTTTTCAAAGTATAATTTCGGAAAAGTAATTTTTTGGAAGTTAACATTTATAAATATTTAATAACACCCATATTTTAATTCTAAAAGTTTTTCTTCCTTAAGCTATGCTAATTTGTAACTGTCAAACAGTAAACACACTAATTCATTAATATAAATCAAACAGTATTTATTAGAGTAAAAAATAATAAAAAGTGATAGTGGTCCCTCAAAGGTTGTGAATGCAACTGATTCATAGTGGCATTCTCTGGGTAAAATTGTGAGGTTAAAACAAAAGTCTTAAATCATCTATTTCTACCAAAGTTATAAACAATTTTATACTGTAAATAGTTTTACAATAAAAAACATTCCTACTTCAAATTAATCTGGCTTTCAAAATGTAATTACTCACTGCCAAACCAGATGATGGGTCAATAAAGTCAGCCCAATAGCCTTCAGCTCGAAGAGCGTAGCAAATTTCCTTAGCACCATTAATGAACTGCATTAAAAAAAGACACAAATATGCTGAAGATAGCATCTCTGTGGGTTTTAGTTTTTAACAAATTTTTAAATATCTTTTGCTTCAGAGAATTGGATAAGATTATAGCGTAATTTATCATTAGTTGTAAACACTTTTACTTCCTTCAAAAAGTCTAAATTGTGTATTTTTCTTCTAAATTACTTCCTGTTTTATGAAAAATTTCTAATCAGTTCTGTGCTGTTAACTCCCAAATTTGTCATGAATTAGAAAATATTATTGCTATTTTGTATTATAGTGTAAGAAAGGGAAAACAAAATATTCATAATGAAAAAACATGAACCATTCATATGTTAAAAATGTGTGTCTTTCAAAAACACATCTATCCATACTCATGGTCATGATACATGTCATGATACACATTATACCTTTCTGTATTTTTTGTACAGGACATAATTATTACAGACCATGTGTCTGTATATCTTATTCAAAATCTTGGTCTTTCCATTCTCATTTGTAATTCCTATGATGTCTTTATTAGCTTTATCAGACTAAACAGTGAAAAAGTAACAAATATTAGGACCAGATCAGAGTGTTTAAAAAAAGAAAAAAAGGACAAACCATGAATGTTTAAAAACAAGGGCACATTTCCACTTCTGGCCATTAACAGAATAACAGATGCCAAACATTATCTGCTATTTGGTGAACACCTGCTAAAAGCTGTAAAACAGACTAAAATGTAAGATACAACAGTTTTAAATCCTGAATAATAATTAAAACTGTAATCTTGTGGAGAAGGGCAACAAGTCAAGTGATTTCCATATTTGTTCCAGCTCTCTGTCTGGAACACTGTTTGTCACAGGGCAAAGAAGAAGATCCCAAAGTGATGGTGTCACTAAGCCAAGGAGGTAGAAAGCAAAAGTTCTGGACTGCGAAGTATCTTGAATTTGTGGGTTAGGGTACTGGAAGAAAGATGCACACTGGGGTTCTCAAGCAGTCCACAGAGCAATTCACCCTGGTTCAGTAGCCAAGGGCAGAACTGTGCACTCACAAGGTGAGACTTCTTGAGGAATCTGTCTCACAGAGAGTGCCAGCTGGGGCCTGAGAGCTCAATGGTGTTATCAGGGTTGTGCAGTCCTAGGTAACATGGATTTCTGGACAACACAGGATGATCAGACCTTGCTGAGCACATCTGGCATTCAGCTGAGATGCCCAAACGTCTAAGCCTTAGGAAGATGGGCCATATCCTAAAATTAAGAGGTTAGCAATTTACAGCCTGAAGGCCAAATCCAGCTGGGTGCCTGTATGTGTTAACAGTTTCATTGGAATATATCCATATCTGTCTATGACTACTTTAACAATACAAGGGTAGACACTATGACCTATAAAGCCTAAAAATTTATTATGTGGCTCTTCACAGAAAGTTTGCTGATCCATGCTATAGAGGAAACTTAAGCTAACTTTCTCCCAGCACTTTCTTGTAAAATAATGAAAAACATTAAATAAAAATTGTATTCTTTAGGTTATTTTCACACTTAATACTTACACATATTACTGCATTTCATTAATCCTATTTCTTAGGAAAACTACTGAATATGGTCTAGAAAAGTAATTAAAAAGTATATCAATTTAATGAACAGATCTGCCATACACAAAACTACAAGGAGAACAAAACAATACAAACGTTTGTAAAAGTTAACTAAAAGAATCCCAAAGTATCATAAACAGAATCAGTTTAAGTATTTCTCTTTAGATTTCTGCACATCAACAGCAAACACTGACATCTGGTGGAAAAAAACTACAACAGATTTGAACAAGAGAACTGGACAGTCAACTATGTGTGGTTCTAAAATAACCACTAATGTATCTAAAACAGAAATTTTTTTTTTTTTTGTAGAAAATAGCTTTAATCATTATAAAATTAAAAATAATATGGCATTTCAAAGCCCTGAAACTGGTTACAAAAAACTCACAACTATACTGGGGTCAGTATCAAATGAGGCTCAGAATCTTTAACTGATGAGAAATTAGGACCAATGATTCAATGCACATGTGAGAGCTCTCTAGTGACTAAATGATAGTAATGGTAAATGTATATGTTAGATACTGCCTTAATATGTAAACAGAAAATGTCTGAATTATTGTCTATTTAAATTTCAATTCTCTAAATTCAGATCTCTTTAAAATCAGATAATGTCTTAAGGCCTGCCCTCTCTGTAACTTCCTTGTTAACTAGCATATAACTTGCTCATGATTATTACTACATAAAATTTAATTAGCAAAGCTGTATGTGGGACATTTTAGTATGATGAAGTCATTATCCTAAAACATTCTGTTGAGTATGTGAATTATAATTTACTAATGAAAAGAACCATACATCCAGTCATAAGGAAAATATAAAATAATTCCTAATATCTTACATGAAAATTAGTAAAGGAAATTTTTTCAATTATAGTTAGCTAAGGCGCCTAATGGAGTTAATCTTGACTTGTCACTCGGGCAAAGAAATGTTTTCCTGTCTTGTAGAAACTGATATAACCCAACATCAAACTCTTAAGACTTTAAGTTAGCATTTACCATTTTTCAGGTTGGTGAAAATGAAAAGAAACGCTAATATTCTGGGTAAGCTAGCATGACAGGATATATACAAGGAGAATCTTTTTTGGTGGGCAAATTGGCACCATCTATCAAAACTTAAATTACCCACGGATTCAGTAATTCCCTACTTAGGAATCTACCGATTTTATATTTGGGCATACATGTTTATGCACATACTTTTCACTGCCTATAATAGAAAAAGTTTTTTAAATTTATAAACTACTAAGGGAATTTTTAAAGTAATTAAAAATTTACAGTTTGCCCATGCAATTTTATGCAGATTTTACATAGTATGAAATCTATGTGTAATGCTATGGAAGGGTGTCAAAGCACCTGGTTAAAAGGACAGGAAAAAAAAATATGGGTCTATAATATGTTATCACTGTGCTGCATGTAGTTACTGATTACTCCTTGAAAACTGGAGTAATTTCCACTTTTTATTTGACATGTTTTAAAAACAATTTTTTTTTAAGGTTTAATTCATTTTTCAGAGACAGAGTGTGAGGCAGGAGTGGGAGAAAGGGAGGGAGACACTGAATCTGAAGCAGGCTTCAGGCTGAGCTGTCAGCACAGAACCTGATGCAGTCCTTTAGTACTGAAATATATTAGCAGAGAATAAAGGCTAAAAAGACACCCATCACCTTAAAATGTTGGTATTTAAATAAGATTATAAAATTGTCAGCAATTGAAAATGTGGTTTTTTTTTTTAATTTTAATGTTTATGTTTTTAGAGAGAGAGAGAGAGAGAGAGAGAGACCACACATAAGTTGGGGAGGGGCAGAGAGAGAGGGAAAGAGAAATCCCAAGCAGGCTCCATGCTGTCAGCAGAGAGCCTGACATGGGGCTAGGGCTCATGAACTGTGAGATCATGACCTGACATGAAACCAAGAGTCAAGACACTTAACTGACTGAGCCACCCAGGAGTCCCCAAGAATTACCTTTTCTAAAAGCATTTCTCTTTCATTTTCTACCTCTTCGCTCCAAACAGTCATATCATTCTTGGTTTTCTGTGTTATAGTCAGAATCATTAGTTTGTTGGTGGCTACTTCTGGAAACAGTGACTCAAAATCTATAAATAACAATAAAAATTTCAGGGAGAATTTGCTATAAGAAGCAGTGAAAAAAGTACTTCTTTAGAAACATGGTGATTAAGTTAAATTATTGTGATACCAAGTTGGATTTATAAATGCACATTATTTTTGGAATGGATACTGAAATGAAGTTTTAATTAACTTCAGCTTTTGGATGGGCTGAAATATTACTATCAATTCTGAAGAGCAAGTAAAGGTTACTTGTTATTGATCTTACAATTTTCAAAAAAAGTTTATTACGATTTTTCTCAGTATTATGTATTAGCTCAAGAAATTACAGCTGTAATAAAAAGGAGAATAACTTCAGTGAAAAAGTTACTAAAAATTCTATTCTTATCTAATGCCAGCATGAGGTCAGATGTCAGGGGACATTTGGAAGACCTTACCTCGGCCATGTAATGTTTTCTGACCAGACACATTACAGTATTAAGTTACAAAGTATTACAATTCCTATGGAATACATTATTTAACACATTAGAAAATTAGCGACATTGCCTAGTGGTACACATGAGTGTAAAAATGTATAAAAGCACAATATACCTCTTCGCAGCAATTCTGGACATGTTTGGATTGCACACTCTACTTTGGCATTTTCAAAGTAAGTTTCTGCACTGTTGATTTCTTGTTCAACAGGTGCATTATTACCCTAAGAAGAATGAGAAATATAAATAAAATCTGGAGTTCAAATAAAATATATGGTCTGTTATAAACTTGTCTTTCCTGGAAAGGTTTTAGAAATAATTCTAGTTAACTGGCTGTGGGGTAATGGTGTTATATACCCAAACTTTTCTCTATGATGGATAAAGATTTGAAAATTTAAAAATGAACACATAAATATATTAATATTCTAAGACTTGGTATGAGTAGAAGTTGGCTAAGAAACTAAAATGCCATGACTATGTCTTACAACGTTACCCTGTCTGATACTTTGATATCTACTTGTCCTTTCTTTTGTTCTATAACCTGTAAAATGGGGGAAAATAGCACTAACAAAATAACATGATTAAACATAAATTCTCCTACAGGATGAGGCTTTTATTCATCTGAAATTTACTGGGCACCTACTACACATCAGCTAACAAGAGCAGCCCTACAATGGTTAAAAAGAAAAAAAAAAAAAATTCCAGTCTTCACTCTTAGGTATAAAAGAGCTAGTAGAAGAAAATCAGCATGAACAAATAAATGTAATGCAATATGAAAAGTGCTACAGAGTTACAAAGAAAGTCTTTTGGCAGTCTAAATGGGGAAATGCTTTGCTGGGGGAAATCAGGAAAAGGTTGAAATCCTCATATTTGAGCTACATGTTAATTAATGTGTATTATGTGGTTTGTAAAGAATGCTAGGTAAAGCAGGTTAGAAACTGAGGAGGAAAAAACAGTCCAGCAAGAGATAAACAGTGCAAGCATATGCAATGGTTAAAGAGAATGGTGCAATTAAAATATTTACGGGTCACTTAGTGTATTTAAGTGTTTTGTGTTCATTTTCACATTTAATCCTCACAGCAACTTTATGGGCTAGGTATTATTATTATCCCCATCTTACATATAAAGAAACATTTAAGTAGTTTTCTCAAGGTCAAAAAATTAAGTGAAAGAGCAAACACCTGTGAAGCCAAATTTATCCTATCTCCATAGTCCATCTCACTATAATGCCTCTGAGAACTGAGGAGAGATAAGGAGGCCTTGAACTCTGGCTTTATTAGTGAGACTGAAAGGACACAAATAATTAAAAAGCTACATCAGAGATGGAAGCAATGTAATTTTGTCACTCTATATGGAGATATGGGAGAGAGGGGAGCCAAGTTTGGCAGAATTCTAACCTTGGGACAGTGGGAGAATGACTAAGTCACTTATGTTACTGATAACAAGGGAATGAGGACAGGTTTTCAGAGGGGTGGAAAAACCCCTAAGTATTAGACATATAAAATCTAGGGTATTTTAAAGCAATAATGATGTTTGGCAGGCAGACAGAAAAGTGTCAAGAGAGGTCAACTGTCTCCAAATGTTATGTTACCTGATATAAGCCATAGTAATTGTGAGGGGCTGTTCCTTAATATTATGGCTTCGATCAAACAGCCTGAAACTTCGCAGAAATTCAAAAAAATGATGAGGATCAGGAGTTTGGCAGACACTCTGAATTGCATGTAACTTTCCATTTAGGTGAGCAACAATGCAATACCAGTTTGTTTATTGTTTTAATTTTTTTTTTTTTAAAGTAAGCTCTATGCCAAACATGGGACTTGCGTTCACAGATGCCCAGATCAAGAGTTGAATGCTTTATCGACTGAGCCAGCCAGTTGCCCCTGCAATACCAGTTTAAAAATGCATTAAAAAAGAAAAAAAAAACCTCAGAAGTTGGTTTTTCTAAGTCTATCTTTTTTAGTTTACTGTATCTCAAGAATTTCAGAGTTCTCAGGCATTTAAGTTTTAAATGCCTAGGAGTGTAAATCTAGTTGGAATTTGCTCCACAAAAAAATTATTTATAAAAGTGAAAAACAGGGAATCTATATTTCTAGTAATATAGAAATAACTAAATTATATTTGAATAAGCAGTTATTACACAATGTATTTTTGAAGATTTACTTAAGAAATTGTAATCTAATTTTTCTATTTTTGTTTCCTAAGAAAGAGCGAGCAGGGAAGGGGCAGACAGGGAGAGAGAATCTTAAGTAGGCTCCACACTGAGCATGGGGCTTGATCTCATGACCTGAGCTGAAATCAAGAGTCACATGCTCAGCTGACTGAGCCACCCAAGCGACCCCAAAGAGACTGTAATCTAAAGTAAAATTATATAGCCAACATTATGTATAGAACAGTGCCAAGTTTTTAAAAACTATGTATGTTGTTTCTGAGAATGCTGGAATTAAGTAGGTATTTTTAAAAACTTTTTCAATTCAAGTAACATGCTCTCAGTTATCAGAAATTAATATAGTGTTAATAATTAGAAAAACAGAATAAAGGATATTAACAATTTACCTGAAATTCATTCACATATTGTGCCATCACAAACTCGTGTCTTTCACTTGATAAAGGTTCTGCTAGAACATCAGGTAAAGTTTTATGAACCTGGCTTTTCTTCTGTGACACAGTCCCATTGAGGTGACAATCAAAACCTATGTTCCCAGGAAGCTGGAATCTCTGATCCTGAGGTCCAAATGGGCCCATAGTTTCATCAGGCCATACTGTTCGAGAGCCTGAAGAGGAACAACAAAATGAATCCATTTTCTCAAGTGCATTGGTGGACTGAAAGAATACTCTTCTTCCAATTAGGTATTTTTTATAAAACCAATAGATCTTTGGAATTTGCTTTCCTGTGTGAATATAAATTAGTTTTGTGTTGTTTTCAGCTCATAGGCAAGTCAATTCGAAGGAGAAGGATTTAATAAAGTACAGTAATCCATACTATGTAATACCTAATAGCCAATAAAAAGAATGTAGTAAATCTTGGAAGGAGTCCAGGAAGACAGCAGAGGATCCTAAGCTCACCCCCTAACACAGAAACACCTAGGTTAACAGCCATATCAGTGCAACTAAACCAGGAAATAAGCCAAACACTGGCAGAATAGACTGCACAATTAATCATAGAGAAGAGGCCAATCAGGGTAGAACGGGCACAGATGCAGCTGGAAACCATACTACTCTGAGAGACTAACCCTAAAGAGGAGAGACAAACACAGAGAAGGGAGAGGAAGAGACCCCATACCAGACATGGGGGACCCACACTGAGAAGACAAGTCCCCATAACATCTGGCTTTGAAACTCAGTGGGGCTTAACTTTAAGAGTTTTTATAGTTAGTGGGTTTAGCTCTGGGAGAGCCAGAGGGTGATAGGAAACTGAGTTCCCACCCTTAAATAGAGAATGTAACAAACAATCCCACTTACAGGCAGCATAGAACCAGCAGTTTGAAAAGTGCCTGAGGTACACATGAAGGAAATTTTTTTTTAAATTTTTTTTTTTTCAACGTGTTTTATTTATTTTTGGGACAGAGAGAGACTGAGCATGAACGGGGGAGGGGCAGAGAGAGAGGGAGACACAGAATCGGAAACAGGCTCCAGGCTCCGAGCCATCAGCCCAGAGCCTGACGCGGGGCTCGAACTCACGGACCGCGAGATCGTGACCTGGCTGAAGCCGGACGCTTAACCGACTGTGCCACCCAGGCGCCCCGAGATTTTTTTTTTTAAACTAATCTCAACCTGTATTGAAGTGTTGGAAAAACAAGGATCTGTAGGAAACTTCTCTGAGAACACAAGAGCTGGCAGGTGCAATTCCTCTCACTCCCACTGCAGCATAGATACCCAGACATTTGTAGGAACCAATGTAAACACTCTCCACATAGCCTGCTAACACCGCGTGCTCACCCCTGCATTGCTTTAATCCATTCAACCAGCTCCACTGGGCAAGAGTGCCTGCAACACAGCTCTGGCAAGGTCTCTCATCCTGTAAGCAGCCCTGACAGTGACCATCATCACTCCAAAGTGATTCTTGCCATGGCGAGTGGAGAAGATGACTACACACACTAGTCTGACAGACATTTCATCTGTTGGTCACACCAACCAAAAGAGCCTCTCAAACAAAACAGAAAGTACCCTGCACTTCTGTGCAGCCCCTGCAAATGGGCTGAAAGTAGGCATCTGGACTGATCACTGATGCTGCCAACTACAAGCCCTTTCCTGCCCCAAACAGGCTCTGAATTGGACAGGGACCAAACCCTGCCCACACAAGCAAAATGGACATTTGCAGCCAAATGGATTGAAGGCAAATGCAGCTGAGCCACAAGAGTATGGTACACCAAACCCACATAAAAGACAACCTTAAAATGCCCAGTTCTGCAGAAGAGGGGGCATTGTGCTACAAGGCACCACAAGATCTCTTCTTCATAAGGCCATTACTTTCAAGATCAAGAGAGATGTATCTTACTTTCCAAATATACAGGAACAAACACAGAAATGAAGAAACAGAGGAATATGTCCCAAATGAAAGAACAGGATGATACCAAGCAAAGAACTAAATGAAATGGAGATAAAAAATATGCCTGCTAAAGATTTCAAATGCTCATAAATATACTTACTGGATTCGAGAAAAGAGTGTAGCATCTCATTGAGACCTTCAACAAAGAGACAGAAAATATAAAAAGAACCAGTCAGAGACTAACTCTACAACTGAAATAAAAAATACACTATGGGGAATGAATAGCATTGTTGAGGAGGAAGAAGAATGGATCAGTGACTGGAAAGACAAGGTAACAGCAACCACACTGAACAGGAGATAAAAAAAAAATAAAAAAAATGAAGAAACTTTGGGAACTCAATGACACCATCGGAAGTATAATAACAGCTGTATTAACAGAGATCCTGGAAGGAGAAGAGAAAAGGGAATGGAAAATTTATTTGAAGAAATAATGGCTTAAAATTTCACAAGTGTGGGGAAGAAAACAGAAATTTAGATCCAGCAGCATAGAGAACACCCCTAGCAAAATCAACTGAAGGAGGTCCACAACATCACATATAGTAATTAAAATGTAAAAAGGAGTGATAAAGAGAATTTTTAAACCTCCAAAGAAAATAGTTACATACAAGGGAAATCTCATAAGGATATCAGCTGATTTCCAAGCAGAAACACTGCAGGCCAGAAAGGAATGGCATGATATTTAAAAGGAATTCTCTGAGTGGAAAGAAAAGGCCATAACACAGAATAAGAAAATTAGGAAAAAATCTTACAGGTAAATACAAACAATAAAAGTAGTAGATTAATCACTTATAAAACCAGTATGGAGGTTAAAACACAAAAGTAGTATCAATTATATCTATAAAAATCAGTCGCTAAAATCAGAAATAAAAATGTCAAGTATGACATCACATACATAAAATGTGGGGGTGGGTAAAAACTTCATGCTTTTAGAATGGGTTCAAACATAAGTGACTGTCAATTTAATGCAGATTGCTGTACATATAAGATGTTCTATGTGAACCTAATGGTAACCACAAATCAAACACCTATAATAGATGCGCAAAAAATAAAGAAATCCAAGCATATCACTAAAGAAAGCCAAAAACCGTAAGAGAGAAAGAGAAGGCAACAGAGAACTACAAAAACAACCAAAACCAATTAACAAAATGGTAATAAGTACATACTAATAATTACTTTCAATGTAAATGGACTAAATGTTCCAATCAAAACAGTAAGATGGGTGAGTGAATGGATGAAAGAGCAAGATCCACCTAAATGCTGTGTGAAAAGACTCACTAAAGACACAGGCAGATTGAAAGTGAAGGGGTGGAAAAACATTACCATGCAAATGGAAGTGAAAAGAAAGCTGGGGAAGCAATAGTTCTTTCAGAAAAAAAAAATACAATTTAAAAGAAAGACTGTAAAGAGACAAAGAAGGGTACTACAAAGGGAAGAGTCCAACAAGAGGATGTAACAATTGTAAATATTTTTGCAGCCAACATGAAAGCACCCACATATATAAAACAAGTATTAACAAAAAGAAGGTGACAGCAATACATTAATAGAAGACTTTAATACCCCACTTACATCAATGGATAGATCATCCAGAAAAATCACCAAAGAACTAATGGCTTTGAGTGACACAACACTGGGCCAGATGGACCTAACCTACATTCAGAACATCCAATCAAAAATAACAGAATACACATTCTTTTCAGATGCACATGAAATATTCTCAAAAGATGTTACATTACAAAACAAGTCTCAGTAAGTTCAAAATCACTGAAATCACATAATGCATCTTTTCTCATTGCAACACTGAAACTACAAATCAAGGTTAAAAAAAAAATTGGAAAGAATACAAATACATGGAAGCTAAATAAAATGCTACTACACAATGAATATGCCAACCAAGAAATCAAAGAGGAAATAAATACATGCAAACAAATAAAAATGAAAACACAATGGTCCAAAATCTTGAGATTCCTCAAAAACCTGTTCTAAGAGGGAAGAAGATACAGCAATACAGGCCCACCTAAAGAAGCAAGGAAAATCTCAAACAGCCTAACCATACACCTAATGGAGCTAGAAAAAGGAGAGCAAACAAAGCCAAGGAAAGGAAATAATGTAGAGCAAAAATACATAAAATGAAAACTAAAAAAACAATACATCAATGAAACCAGGAGCTGGTTCTTTGAAAAGAACAACAAAACTGATAAACCTTCAGTCAGAATCATTAAAGAAAGAAGACTCAAAATCAGAAATGAAGGAGAAATAATGACATCACAGAAACACAATGGATTATAAGAGAGTATTAGGAAAAAGAATATGCCAACAATTTGGACAACCTACAAGAAACGAATAAATTCTTAAAAACACAATAACCTTCCAAAATTGAATCAGGAATAGAAAATATAAACAGACTGGTTACTAGCAATGACACTGAATCAGCAACCAAAAAATTTGCTTTGTTCGTTTCTTACATTCCACATGAGTGAAATCATATGGTATTTGTCTTTCTCTGACTTACTTCACTTAGCAAATGCTATCTCCACCCATGTCACTGCAAATGGCAAGATTTCATTCTTTTTTAAGGCTGTGGAGTATTCGATTGCATATATATATATATATATATATATATATATATGTACATATACATGCACACCACATCTTCCTTATCCATTTATCAGTTAACAGTACTTGGGCTGTTTCCATAATTTGGTTATTGTAGATAATGCTATAAACATTGGGGTGCATGTATCACTTTTAATTAGTATGTTTGGATTGTTTAGGTAAACATCTAGACGTGCAATTGCTGGATCACATAAGTGTGTATATATACACACACACACCAGCAATTGCACATCATATATACATATACACACACATATATGTACACAATATATATATGTGTGTATATGGTTTATACACACAGAAATCTGTTACATTTCTATATACTAATAAAAGGAGAGAGAGAAATTAAGAAAACAATCCCATTTATAATAGCACCAAAAAGAATTAAATACCTGGGAATAAACTTAACCGAGAGGTAAAAGACTCATACTCTGAAAACTGTAAAACATTGATAAAAGAACTGAAGATTCCACAAACAAATTGAAAGATATGTGATGCACATGGATTTGGAGAACCAATATTGTTAAAAATGTCCATATTATCTAAAGCAATCTACAGATTTAACACAACTCCTACCAAAATTACCAACAGAAGTTTCACAGAACAAGAACAAATAATCCTAAAATTTGTATGGGACCACAAAAAACCTTTGACAGCCAAAGCAATTGTGAAAAAGAACAAAACTGAAGGTACCACAATCCCAGACTTTAAGATACACCACAAAGTCAGTAATCAAAGCAGTATGGCACTGGCACAAAAACAGTCACATTGATCAATGCAACAGAATAGAGAGTCCAGAAATAAATTCACACTTTTATGGTCAATTAATTTACAACAGAGGCAACAATTTGTAACGGGAAAAAGTCTTCAACAAATAGTGTTGGGAAAATTGGTTAGCTGCATGCAAAAGAAATGAAACTGGACCACTTTCTTATATACAAAAATACTCTCAAAATGGATTAAAGGTCTCAATGTGAGAGCTGAAACCATAAAACTCCTAGAAGAAAACAGGCAGGAAAAAAAAAAAAAAAAACAGGCAGTAATTGCTTTGACATCAGCTACAGAAACATTTTTCTAGATATCCTTTGTCAAGGGAAACAAAAGTAAAATTAAACTATTGGGACTCTATCAAAATAAAAAGCTTTTTTGCACAGTGAAGAAAACTATCAACAAAAGGACTACAAATCAAAAAGGCAGCATACTGAATGGGAGAAGACATTTGCAAATAATGTTTCTGATAAGAGAATAATAATATACAACATATATAAAGAACTTACATAATTTAACATCAAACACCTGCCTCCCCCCACCCTGCCCTGCCAAATCAAATTAAAACACGGAGAGAACAGACATTTTCTCCAAAGACAATGGTCAAAAGACACATGAAAAGATCTGAACATCACTAATCATCAAGGAAATGCAAATCAAAAACCACAATGAGATATCACATTACATCTGTCAGAATGGCTAACATAAAAACTGAAGAAATCATAAATTTGGTGAGGATGTGGAGAAAAAGGTACACTTGTGAAAGATGCACTGTTGGTGGTAATGCAAGCTGGTGCAGTCACTGTGGAAAACAGTATGGAATTTCCTCAAAAAATAAACAAAATTACCATATGATTGGTGCAGTCACTGTGGAAAACAGTATGGAATTTCCTCAAAAAATAAAAAACAAAATTACCATATGATTCAGTAATTCCAGTACTGGGTATTTAACCAAAGAAAACAAAAACACTAATTCGAAAAGATACATACTCCCCTATGCTTACTGAAGCATTAGTTACAATAGCCAAGATATGGAAGCAACTCAGTGTCCATCAACAGATGAATGGGTAAGAGGATGTGGTGTATATATACACAATGGGATATTACTTCACAATAAAAAAGAGATCTCGCCGTCTGCAACATATGGATGGATGCAGTGGGTATAATAATAAACAACATAAGTCAAAGACAAATATTGTATGATTTCACTCTTATGTGCAATTTAAAAAACAAAACAACAAATAAGGGAAAAAAGAGACTGAATCTTAAATATAGAAAACTGGTGGTTGCCAGAGGGAAGGTGGTTGGGAGGGAAGGGTGAAATAGGTGAAGGGAATTAAGAGTACACTTATGTGATGAACAGGGAATAATGTATAGAAAACCAAATTTTTTGGTTTAAATCATATTGTACACCTGATACTAATATAACATTGTATATTAATTATATTTGAATTAAAAAATACAATAAATGCTTACTGATATTGAACAAAGTCTAGGACACATTAAAAGAAAAAGGTAAGTCAAAAATAGTCTATGTGAGGGGCGCCTGGGTGGCGCAGTCGGTTAAGCATCCGGCTTCAGCCAGGTCACGATCTCGCGATCCCTGAGTTCGAGCCCCGCGTCAGGCTCTGGGCTGATGGCTCGGAGCCTGGAGCCTGTTTCCGATTCTGTGTCTCCCTCTCTCTCTGCCCCTCCCCCGTTCATGCTCTGTCTCTCTCCCAAAAATAAATAAAAACGTTGAAGAAAAAAAAAAAA